TTGCAAACACGGCGATGAACCATTTTGTTCCATACATGGGACTGGAAAGATATCCTAACCAGCTGAGTGACTATAAGTTTTGTTCCAAAGTGACAGTACTCTTCAGACTTTCCTTAGTCACCCTGTCTTTCTACGCCATAACCTACCCGGCTAACATAATATCAAATTCAAAATTTTCCCCTCACATCCGAAAAATCAGGGTCTCAATAATTCTGTCACCAGTGAATATCCAAGCACAAAATAACAAAACCATTTTTTAAAATCTGAATGACGCAGTATCTGTCAGATGTGAATTTACGAACGCCACAAACGAATTTCATTAAAATTTAATGGCGATTTTGTAACGCCGTTAATTAATAACATATTGCCACTGTACTTGGAAATGATGGTTGAAATACTTACCAACGATCAGCAGCGTAATCTGACTGAGGATGAAAGCAATAACGCAAATATTTCCTCTTCGTTTATACGTCATATTAAAAATGTATGAAGAGAAAATCACTTGTTGAACTGTTCTAACTATTACAGTTGCACAGTATACACGGTCGATCTTGAATTGATGAATAGTAGTGAACTCCTTGAACACTGAACTAGAATTGCACAACTTCCACTCAATGTATCTTCTTATATAACCAAGAGTCGGACATATAGAAAACATGTCACTGTCCGTATTGTTGTAGGCTTTGCCTAACAACCGCTGTTTACACGCTATGCCTAGCAACAACTGTTTACTCGCCGTTACTAAGCAATGATAATTGCGTTGTCATATTTGCTGTTTACACGCTTTGCCTAGCAACAGCTGTTTACTCGCCGTTGCTAAGCAATGATAATTGCGTTGTCATATTTGCTTGAATGTAAGAAGTTCCCCGCGGAGATTGTTGCTCAGCTGTTGAAGCGAGCAGGAAAATTTACGTGACGTCCGGAGAGTGTATTTCGTGCTACAGACGGTGGTGGTACAGCATGCGGAGCCGCGGTTGGGGTTGTGTCGGCTGCGGGGTTGAAGGTCTTGGTGGTCTTGGTCGTGGTCCCGCGGCCAGTCTCGTTTACCATGTAGGCAGGTGACGAGCCTCCCGCGCACGAGGATTTGCATTGTCTTCTCCTTCGTGACAGGACCAATGATACTTGCGTGTCTCTGGGTGTCTGCGGTTGCCTTTGTATATGTGAGTGCGCGCTTCTCTGTGTGCATTTTTCTGCTCATCTCTGGGCGTGTTTGCGTTCTCTCTCCGTATTTTTTTCTGTGTATATGTGCATGTTTTGGTGTGCATGTGTGTATGCATGTAATTCATAATTGTCTTTGAGTTAGTTTACGAGGCCGTCAGTGCCTACGGCATAATACGTGTATATAGCGACGGATGTTAGGATAGCAGTGAATGATAAATTGAGATCAATTTCGAAGGACATGATGGTCGTATAAGGGAGATGTCCAGGTATTTTTCTGCGGGACTGAGGAAAATCACAATAAATTCACAGAAAAGACGGTGTTCTGGCTGGCATTCGAAACAGCCACTTCCTGAATACAAGTCTAGGACGTTACTGTAACACAATTCTGTTCGGTGTCATGAAATATGTCTTTCAATATATTGTTAGGGTTATTACACGACATTGAATGTAGTATGCATGGCACAGCTGACAAGTACGTATAAAATTCTTGTCGATCAGTAAAGAAATGACAGCTTTGTACACTTAATTGGATCTTAAAGACCGAGGATATGTCTGTGATGTATGCAAGTATGTGAGAGATATATATGTAGGTGCCAGCAGCAAATACCTAGATATACATTAGTATTCATGAGGGGCGAGGGGAGGCTCTTTTATTCATACGCTGTACAAGGCGCGGCACTCCTTTTCTCTTAGTGCAAACGTTTCGCCTTCGACCGAAAATCTTAATTTTCTCGCGGCAAACATGTGCTAACAGACTTCATTATACTAACGGAAATTTTAATTTGAACTTATACGCACGGTTGTATGGTCCCTGGCCGCAGACAAATCTCCACTGCGTCTTATTGCCATCCACGTGTACATTAAAGGCCATGAAATTCATTATTGCCCACAGGTACCGAATTCTACATTGATGGCATACATCAGGACCAGATACATTGTGCTTACTCCAGAGGTGCAGAGGCTCTTATTCCGTTCTTTCTTTCTTTCTTTCTTTCTTTCTTTTTTTTTGAAATGGTGGGGACCAAGTTTAATAGCACTTGCCTCAAATCCGACCCAAAGGATATGGCAGAAGTGATATTGAACTTACTTATGGAGATGAGTAGTTCTTGAGAACACGCCAATTTTGCAGCCACTCAAGAATTTTGCAACCTTTTATGGAACCCGAATGTTCATTACTGTGTTCACAAGAGCCCTCCACTGGTCCCTATCCTGAGCCAGATCAAACCAATCTATACCATACCATCCTATCTCTCTAGGATAAATTTTAATATTTTCCACCCACCTACACCTTGGTCTTCCCAGTGGTCTCTTTCCTTCTGACTTTCCCACCAATATCCTATATGCATTTCTAACCTCACCGATTCGTGCTACATGCCCTGCCAATCTCATCCTCCTTGACTAGTGATATTGAAGACAGTTCAAAAATAGAAATAGGTTGGGGGGGGGGAACTCTGCAGTACAAGAGATCTGATTGTAAAAGTATTTATTGCTATTCTGACGAACAAGGCATTTGGGGGGGGGAAGCAATCAAAATATTTGCTATGTTAGCATACCTTCTTACCGATTGTGCTCTCAGCCCTGTCGGCCATTTTAAATTTAGTTAATGGAAGAAGACTGGGGTCAGTTGCAGGAAGAAAGAAAAGGAATTTGTTTGGACCAAACAGAAATCTCATACAAATAATAGCAACTAATGTGAATAACGTGGACTTCGTACATAACCTCGAAGATGATGAAGAACGAACTAATATGGGAATGAATGAATTAAGGGAAACAAATGTAAATAATTATACCTTGATAAAAGGAAAAAATAAATTTGAAGAAATGCATAGTAAATATAAACATAAAGTAAGAATAATTGTCGATAGCCATGTAAAGAAAAAAGTGCAGCTGAACTCGTGTAATTTTAGATCATAGATATGAGATTATGGGATTTACCAAACCAGGTGCATTAATGACAGATATCTTGAAAACGGCTACAGACGAATGCACCTCACTAAGTAATAGGGGCATTTTGGTACTGTGGGTAGGAGCAAATGACATTAGTAAAAACAATACTAAAGAAGCACTCAGGAGCCTAACTAAATTCTTAGAAGGACATAAGAAGATAAATATTATACTAATCCACACACTGGATAGACATGATATCTCCACAACCTCCAGTGTAAACAAAGAAGTTCTGAAGTACAATAGGCAAGTAAAGAAAATAATTAAATTAAACCCTAAGATTAAATTAATGGAAGTTGAATTACAAAGAAAACATTTTACTAGACATGGACAGCATCTAAATTTAACTGGCAAAGAGTTAGTGGCCCTAGAACAGGCTAAGAAAATCGAGCAGCTTCTAACTAAATTTGAAACAATTCCTATTCAAATACAATGGAAAGAGGATAACCTGTATGGGGAAAACTTATCAGCACAAATTGGAATTGAAGAACCTACGTTGAAAAGAAAATTGTAAAAAGTCTGTAAAGTTAAAAAAGTGCCAACGTGAAAAAATAGAGGATAATAAAAAAATCTCTGAGAGCTAGGAAAACCCCTGTAATGAAACCAGATGATTTCTATAGTAAAACAGCTTAAAAAGAGTAAAACCATAGCTACAAAAAAAAAAAAAGCAGCCTCCGTAGTCTAGAGGTAACGTTCCCGCCTCATGACTTGTAGTACATAGGTTCAAATACCCGGCGGAGGTCGTCGAATTTTTAAGGGCGGAAAAATTCAGGGAACAAGTCCTCCGGGAGGGACTTTAAGCCGTGGGTCCTGTGTTGTAGCTGTAAGGCACGTAAAAGAACCTCATATCTCCAAAGGAGGTCACTGAGCCAAATTACGGACGTTTCCCGCCCAACAGCAGTCTCTAATACCTCTGGTAGATGGGGGAAGCATTATAGATACCTCTCAGCTAGTAGAGCCAGTCTCGCTGGCTGGGCGGGACTGATGGTAAGCACCAGTACCGGTAGGGTATAGAGACTGGTAGAATATCATAGAAGGAAGCACAATGGACCAATACAGGTCTCAGTGCGTGGGGCAACCCACCCTCTCCAATAACTAACTAACTAGCTACAAAAAATTATGTCAAAATTTTTCATCAAAACATATATGGACTTAGGAGTAAGTGTAATGAAATACTATGTCATCTAGAAGAGCTTACACCTCAAATACTGTGTCTACCAAACATCATCTTAGTGAGGATGAGATAGCTTACCTTAACCTGAACAGTTACGTTCTAGGCGTACACTATTGCAGAAAAAATTTTAAGAAGGGTGGAACTTGTATATACAAGTATATATATAACAATTTACTAATTAACAACATTAGTCTTGATAAATTTTGTTGTGACAAGGATATGGAAGCATGTGCTATTACTGTTAATACTACAAATTTCAAAATATGCATTTT